AGTGGTCCAAAGCTATTTTCATCTGGTCCGTTGTAATCTGGCACGACTGCTGTTGTTGCCGCCAAAGTAGCATTTTTATCCAAAAAAAAGCAACTCAACCACTTCTGTTTCATCAGCATAAAATTCTAAGACGGAGTCTGTAGTACGCTGACATAATAAGTTTCCCTAGTGAAACTTTAATTCGACTTTTAAAAAAATAATTATTTTAGATATAAATATATATATATATAAATAAATATAAATATATATATAACACACATGTACATTAAGCGGTACTTTGATAACCAAAGTGTAGAATCACTTGACAAATCGTTTGTGTGGTGTTTTATTAATCTCATTAAAGATATTCTCATACTCCTACGTGGGAGTATAATTATATGAAATGTTTTAATGAATTAATTTTATTACCATTTGATTGAATTGAATAACTCCGTTAATAACCAAAGCGTATCTTTTGTTTGGTGTTACTTTAGTTAACATTTAATAAATATTTTTTGTTATGAGGTGTTCAATATTAACAAAATTTTTGAAATATTTTTATCATGAATTGGAAACCAGTTTCAGTTCATTGTGAAATGCGATTTGTGAGAGTTTGAACTTTCCAATGACAAGCAACGTTTATCGAATCGTATCTGAGCAGTGAAGAGTTCTACAGACTGCTTGTCTTGCTTCTGACATTTGTTAACTTATAAGATTAATTAGATAACATTTTTAAGTTAAAAAAATTTTAGATAATTAAAATCGAATATTTTTTAATTCAATTAATTCAGCTTGTTATCAATATATTCAATAATATTTTTGATTATTTATAATTGAATTTGATTATTAAATTATTGTAACGTAATTTTAATATTGGTGTTTATGTTAGATACATTATTATTATATTCCATTCTACTATTAATAGTTTTATATATTTAATAAAACTTAAATAATCAATTAAATTTTTTATTACCAATTTGTTTATTTTATTATTTTTTGTTATAAATATTATTAATTTTTTTATATATTATTATTATATACCATTATATTGAACACAGTTTGATTTATTTGACGTCAATTTTTTTAAACGAAACTGAACCAACAATTTATTATATTTTTTTTTATAATTTTTATATTATTCTTTATCCATTTTTCTATTAATTGTTGAATACCTTATGCACTTCTAATTATAGATTAATTAAGATTTGCTGAAAACTTATAGAACAGAACTGCAATAAGCCTTAAATTTTTTTCAGTCTAAAACCGTCAAATCTTTAAAAGCTTTAAGGAAAAAGAACTATTTATTCAAGTTTTTATACAAGAAAATATTTAAGTGTTGTATTTTTTCAATATAAAAATATTTATTTTTTCTTGTTTCAATTGTCAAAATAATATAAAATAATTTAACAAAAAAATATAGATAGAAAACATTTATATAAATATCATTATTGAAGTCCGTTTATTCTAAGGCCGGTTTTTATGTAAAAATTATTTACTTACCACTTCTTTATCAGAGGGCAGATGAATTAAACTTCATTTTCTTTTGAAACATACTTAGATCGTAACTAGTTATTGGCATTGTCTTTCTGTAGCCACTAACTTATTGATTAATCGTTAGGACTATGAGGTTGCAAGGATCCTATGGACTGGATTATGGCCTAGGAGAAACAGAAGTTCTTTAGAGTTCTTTGATATGTAAGTCAAACAAAAGAAATCTAAAGAAATTCAATGTAGTCAGAAAGATATAGGCACTTACATACAAGAATTAAATTTAAAATATTTAAAGATATTATAATACTATGTATTAAAACTGTTGTCGATTATACCTAACTGAAAATGTAGCGCATATTAACATTGTTTATTATACTAAAATAATGTATATATTATTAATATATTTTATAGCACTTATTAAACCATCAAGCCAAACTTATAAAATAATATGCGAACACTGAGATCAGATCTATAATATATTAACAATATTATATATTAACAATATAATGGT